ATATATATATATATATATATTACGTTGTCGCGGCCCGGTAGTCCAGTGGTTAGCACGTCGACTTCACAGTGCAGAGGTACCGATTGAACACACTGAATTGTCCCTAGGTGTGAATGTGTGTGTGTGTGTGTGTGTGGATGGTTGTTCGTCTCTGTGTGCCCTGCAATTGGCTGGCAACCGGTTCAGGGTGTCCCCCGCCTACTGCCCGAAGACAGCTGGGATAGGCTCCAGCACCCCCCGCGACCCTGGTGAGGATTAAGCGGTTCGGAAAATGGATGGATGGATATTACGTTGTCCACTGGAGATGTGTGATTTCAATGTGGGCGTGGCCCATTGAGTGACATCAGGAACATGGCTGCTTAGCCTTTGTTAACCTTCCAGAAGTGAGCTTTGGGCTGCTTTAGCTGCTTGCGACTGACTAACGTTAGCAGCAAAGATGAATGGACACAGAGTCAAATGATTTGAGCAATGAAATGGCAAGTCTGACCTGAACTGTGGCCATGCAGGTTGGGGTGAAGAAATACAGATGACACGGAGAACAGCACGGTTCAGGGTATACGAGGCAGGCTAATTGATGAGCCTATTTGTTTTCACTGTGTCTGGATATAGGCACGCGGAGGAAAAGGAAAGCCATCTTCAAGGCCGCCGTGTTTGTGTAGTGAGGACAGAGGTGAAATGTCAGGAAGGGCTTGAGTTTGGGCTCATTAAAGTGCTCCCTGTTTGCCAGCGACTTCCATCATGATTAAGTGTCTCTTCGGAGGGGATCCTGGTGGGAAAATAGGAACCATGTGAAACGGGGAGTCCTGGCAAGATCAATGAATGTTAAAAGGAGTGGTCCGGGGCAGCCAATAGGGGTCAGGCAAACGAGGAAATCACCTGATGTGAGCCGGCCGAGATAAATACTCCACACGGGCAGGTGCTTCCTGAATCCTGCACGAACTGCCTTGTTTGCAGCACTTTTCCTAAAGGCACCATTCATAGCTTACTTGTGGCTCAACCTTCCATCCCTGAATGTTTCCTCTTGATTGGCGCACAAGCAAACACGGCCCTGACAGTAAAAAGCAAAATGCAACGAGAATGAGTCAGGCGATGACAAATATACAAGGCAGTAAAGATAAGTGCAACCTGCAGGGTAGCATGTTGGGTAGAAAGGAGAGAAAGTCTGTTTTTGCCGATAAAAGGGGAGATTTTCAGGGAATGATGATTGCCAGTTATATACACAACAAAAAGGGAAACACTTCTTCCTATTGGCCATCTCACTCGATTGCCTTTTTGTCTCCCGATCCCCATTTTCCTCCTCTTTCTTTCTTTTCGGCTATGCTGCTCGCTGCGTGATTGTTTTGCGCTGTCCAATGAGGAAGGAAACCAGTGTGAGAAAGTGCCTGTTCTTTCAGGACCGACAGGAATTGGCTTCATCACAAGCGGTTCCTTTTTTTGCAACTGGAACAATGCACTGGCGTCACACCCCTCGACTGGACCTCGGCATTTCACATGGAAAAATGCTCACAGAATTCCGCTCCCAGGCTCGGCGTAAAAAGGCAGAGGATGGGATGAGGGTGAGAGGGCGGGAGGTGGAGAGCGGAGGGGTTACGGCCCGAGTGGGTGAGGCGAGGTGAAGCAAAGCAGCACCCGTAGAAAAATTATGGCATGTCACAAGAAGCAAATAAAACGCTTTATACTGCCAATGCAAACCCAACTGTCGGCATAGCAGAGTCATAACTG